AAGAAGAAAATCAACTGCAGCTTCCTTCCTTCTACAGCTAGGAAAGACATTTAATCACAACAACAGAATTATTTACCTGTGTGACACCTTCTATGATAAATCAGCATGTGGTTCTGAGTGAATCTTGCACCACATTCATCACAGACAAAAGGCTTTTCCCCTGTATGAATTCTGAAAGTACAACATGCAGGTGATAACTTCGGATGTATTTCAAAGCTCACTTTACAGTATTATTTCCACTCTATCCTGCAATCATTTATTCCAAGAGACCTACTGAGAAGGACTGAAGTGACAGGTCCAAGGCCCTACACAAGCATGATAATGGGCTCGTTTCCCCAGAAATCACGGAACCTTCTTCTACATCTTATGAACCTCACTGTTTATGCTACAAGGCAGTGGTCTCCAACCTTTTTGGCACCAGGGATCAGTTTCATAGAAGAAAACTTTTAACTTTTCTTTGGACTAGGGATGGGTGTGGGGTGGGGAGGAGAGGAGAGGTCTGACAGGATGTGAGCTCAGGGGATGGGAATGATGGGGAGCAGCTGTAAATACAGATGAAGCTCCCTGCCCACTCACCTTATACTGTGTGGCCTGGTTCCTAACCCGTCACAGCCTGGTACCAGTTGGCAGCCAGGGCATGGGGGCCACAGATGTGAGGCACAGTCAGAGACCATGCCTTTTTGTATTATTTAAAACACTCAAGCACACCATCTAATATTTGTAAAGCTTTCTCACCCAGAGTAATCAGCCACAAGTAGCTAAGGACCCATAGCTGACAAAGTGCTACATGATCAAACATTTTGCTATCACTTCCTAATGTGACTAGTCTAGAAAAGAGAACTGTTCTCAAAATGCTGAAGAAATCTATTTTCTGAGGAGTATGCATAAGCAATTTAATTTCCCAACTAGTGGGAACTAGCAATTAATCATGGTTTACTGAGCACTTCCTAAATTAAGTATTTTTAACTTACTACATAGAGTAAAAGACGATGAGCACCATGCTGCTACCACAGACTGGCCAGGGTTTGAGGTCAGAGTAGAGAGCTTGTTGGAATTTTAAGTGTAAAGACTGGGAATGATGAGAAAACTTATTTTAAAACTGACCACACACCTACAGTTCAAAACATACTAATAAACAGAAAACACTGTCCATCCTGATTCTAGAGTTTACACTTACCAGATGGCACATTTTCCAAACCCTGAGAACAGATAAGACCAGAGATGTATCCTAAAACCCTCAATAGCATCTCACTGAGTTCTTCAATGGGATTTTGGAACACGAAAAGTCACAGAACCCAAGTTCTAAAGGAACAGCCAGAAAAAGAGAAATAAAAGTAATTTGGCCCAACTCTTCCTCAAGCATGGCAGGAAGTGTGAATGTTACCTTGGGGATGGGCCAGCCCTGGCCTGCAGCTCAGGCAGGTGGGTCTTGTGGGGCAGGCACTGTCACTGTCCTCTGTGCAGCACGGCAGCTCCCCCAACCAGGCCTCAGAAGGAACTGGTTCAGGTCCAGGAGGACAAGGGAGGGTCTTCCCTGGCCCAGCCCAGGGACACTAGAGGGCTTGTGAGTGGGGGAGGAAGAGCCATTTCTCACAGCTTCTCTACCTTGAAAGAGCTCAAAGCTGTCTGGAAATAGCCACCAAACACTTGGAAGGGACAAGTTAGTGAGACACCTAGAGACCCGGCCACTAGGGCCAAATCCCAGACCAAGCTCAATTTCTCCATACGCACTTCTAGAAGACAGTCCCTGCACAGATGCCAGCCTCACTACGGACACCGCTGGGCAGCTCTGCGAGGTCGTACCTCATGTGGGTCTTGAGCGCTGAGGGCTGCGAGAACTTGGCGCCACACTCGGTGCAGGCATAGGGCCTGTCGCCCGTGTGCGTGCGCTCGTGCAGCCGCAGCGCCGTCTTGGAGCTCAGGCCCTTGCCGCACTGCCCGCAGCGGTGCCGCTCGCCCCCGCCCTCATGCACCTGCACCACGTGCCGCTTCACATCTTTCTTGCGCTTGAACTTCTTGCCGCACAGCTCACAAGGGAAGTGGCGTTCGCTGCTGTGCACGTGGCGCTGGTGGCTCTTTAGGTTGCAGCGGTTGGCAAAGGTCTGGCTGCAGGTGTCGCAGCGGTACACCACCTCGGTGGCCACCCCATGGTGGTGTTTGCTGTGCTTCAGGAAGCTCTTCTCGTACAAAAACGCCTTATCGCAGATGGTGCACTTGAAGTTGCTCCTCTTCTTTTCCCCCTCTTCATCCTCCTCCTCCTCCTCTTCCTCCTCCACCCCTGCCTTTTGCAACACCTCCTTCACCTGGGCTTCTGCACAGCACCCCTCATTTTTTTCAACAGACTCCCCCTCTGCCCCCACACTATCGGAGCTTTGCTCCTGAAGACACCTGTCGTCTCCCAGCTCATCCTCTATACTGTTCTGCTGCTCCCGGAGTCTTCTTGTGTATTTCTTTTTAGGGATTTCCACAAAGACCTTCCTGCCAGCCAGCCTACCACTAGCTCTCCTGATTTTGGGGTAAGGAGGCTTAACTCCCTCTCTCTTCTTGTCTAGTTTCTCCTTGGGCTTCCTCAGCAGGGTATCTGATGACACACCATTGCTGACTCTCTCCACCGGGGTGGCTGAGGGCTCCACCAGGCCATTGGAGTGAAGGCCCTCTGTGGCCCCACTGGCCCTTGAGCCTGGACCAACACTGACTTGGGAGCCACTGCCTGCCTCGGCCTCCTGAGACTCTGAGAAATTTTGCAATTCTAAAAGTACAGACTCCAACATCTGTTTCTTTAACTGAAAACAAGTTTCTGATAAGTCCAAACATTTCAGTTTTTCAGCCATTTCCAGCATTCGCTGCACCCTGTCTTCTTCTACCTGTACCTTTGCAGTGTAGACAAACTCGAGAAATGAGGCAAAGTCAACAACCTGCACTTCATTTAAGTAGACATTAGTCCTAGCACCATCCATACTCTTGTCATTAAGGAACATTTCCTTAAAAAACTTGCTGGTGGCTGCCAGCACTGCTTTATGGGCCACAAAGTCTTCGCGGACACCCTGATATTCCACACTGACCGTCACATCACACAAGTGACCAAGAAGCCGAAGCTCATGCATTTCATGTAGAAGGTTCAATGGGGAGGACTTGGATTCCAGCAGAACTGCACCACTTTCCATCTTTCTTCTTGCTAAAAACAGCTTTGAAAACAAAAACAAGAATCATCTCATGTCGGAGCAACCAAAGAAATAAAAAGAGTAAAAATTATGAGGATTACTTCAGTTTTTGAGAAGATATAAACTCATTAACAACCTAGCTTTTTTCAAACCACATTTTACTTCTCAGCAGTTTTCTGAAGTGAACCTCCTGATGCACTTCCCTAAGATAATATTTGTAAGAAAAAATGGAGTATTGCTAAGATTTGCTCCAATGAGAAACAAATGATTAAAGTTATAATTAGGGAAATATATGAAAGCAGTGATTTGTTTATCAAGGTCACTAATTTGCTTACAGACATAAGCCTCAAAATTGTAATAGAATTTATGGCAACAATGTCTAGTTCTCTGATCAGGAGACCAAATAATTAAAACGAAACACATGGCCAACACCATTTGGGAGCAAACTGAAAACCTTTAGAAAATCCTTTCTGCCTTTAAAAACAACCAATTAACTACTTTGTATGAGGAAAACTTCGAAGAAAGAAGTTCACACTCCATCACCATTTATCACAGTCCAAACACCGCACAATTTGAATTTATGTTACTCTACTGGATGCAAGTTCCACAGTTTTTACAGGCTGTGCTAGTGTGAGCAAGACAAATCTAACTTCTCTGAGTCTGTTCCCTCCTCAGAGAAGGCTGTTGCAAGGTTCCCATGAGAGCAGCACAGCAAGTGCACCCAGCAGAGCCTGAAACCTCTGGCTACCTGTTATCCTGCTTCCCACGCACAGGTGAAGGTGCAGGTGAGATGCCCATTTCCCAGGTGAGGAACTAACCAGGTGAAGAGAAGTGGCTGGGTCAGATTTGAGCCTGGCCTGATGAGACTCTGGATTCAACTCAAACATCCCAACACACCCCTCGCTTCAGACTCCTCAAATGCAAAGGGCCATTGTTACCCTTGCCTCCTCCCAGCGCAGAGGGCATGCAGGTTCCACTGGACCCACCTGGGTCTCTGTGATAACCCCACCCCATCTTCATTTCTTCTGCTTTGCTGGCTCCACTCTCTCCACAGACTCGCTGAGTATGTGCTTTATCTTTAAAGTTCACCCCCGGGCGGCTCCTGTGGCTTAGTAGGGCACTGGCCCCATATACCAAGCCCTGGCGGGTTAGAACCCGTCTTGGCCAAACTGCAACAAAGTTCACCCCCAATCTTCTACTCCTGAATCTACCTTCCTCTTCCAAGTTCCACCCACCCTAACCATCCACCTTCCTCAGTCTCCTTCAACCAGATCTTAGATGTCATTTCAGAATCAACATGTCTAGAGCAAAAGTTGTAATTATTTTCCCTGAAAACTAGTTCCACTCTCTCCCTTTCTCCAGCCCCCGAAATAATACTGCTCCCACAAGCCAACACCCCCCAAACACAGGGCCTGCCCTTTGAGAGGCCAGCTGTAAACCCAGTCCCTTGAAGACTGAAGCAACGTCACCTGAAGGAGAGTCCACAAGCAGGCGCGGTGAAATACAAGGTATGCTGGGGGCGGAGGAGTCAGTGACCCCAGTCCCAGCCTGGGAATAGGCAGCTACCGAGAGCTTTCAGCCTGACGTGTGCGCTAGCCACCCGCCTCGACTTCCCCGAGCCTCTGCCAAGGGGCCTCGTACAGGCAGCCGGGCAGTGATGTCTCAGGTCATCAACAAAGCGGGTTCAGACCATGACGACAGGGCTATCTGCACCCAGTGACAGCTGCGTGCCCCACTGTCGTTCACTGGCCTCGCGGACGCCTCTCAGCGATGAGCATCTGAGCTAAAGCGGGCAGCCCTCGCGGCCCTGGGAACCGCTGTCCGCAGCCTCGCAGAGCACAGGACATGGCCTCCACCGGGCTCCAGGCTGCGGGCGTCCCCCCGGCCCTAACAGCGCCACCCCGCCGTAGCCGGCACCTTCGGCCCCTCGAAGGGCGATACGGAGAACAAACTGCTGCAACTAGAGTCAAGCCCCTCCTCGTCCGGACGTGCTGCCTCCCCGACTCCGGCATCGGGGCCGCGTGGATCCGGCCTGTCCCTGCGGCCCTGGGCCGTCCCCACCACCCAGGCCCCACAACCCCAAGGCCTGCCGCTCCTCGGAACAGTTAGCACGCGCGGACAACTGGGAGGCGAGGGGTCGGGCCGGGCCGGGCCTTGCAGGGCGCGCACTCACCTCCCAGCCCGCCGGGCCGCCGCCGACGTCCGCTGCACTAGGCCGGTAGGAACCGCCGGCCCGGCTGGGCGGGACGCGGCCCGAGCGCGGGCGCCGTCGATTGGTCGCCTCAGGCCCCGCCCCCCTACCCGCCCCGCCCTACTGCTGGCGGGGCCCGGGAGAGCCTGCGCCCTCACGCCAGGCTGCGCAGGCCACTCTGGAGGAGTTACGCGATCTGACGAGGCGGCGCTGCGACCCGCCTGGCCAGGCCGGATTGCGTCACCTGTCGCGAGGCAAGGCGTGCACCGGGGCTGGAGACCGCGGCGTCTGCGCTGCGGTACGCAACTGGGGGCAGGGGCTGGTCTCTAAGGTCTCGTGAGCGCTGCTCGCCGTGACCCCCTTTCTGTGGAGTCCCGGCGTCAGCCGCGCGCTGGATGTGGTTGTCGGCTCACTGCCTGAGGCTGTGTTTTGCTGGGAGCGGCGCAGGCTTATGACCCCAAGCCGCATCCATAGGCACCGCGGCCGCTCTTCGGACCACCGTGGGAGGATGAGTGCGGGCAGTCACGCTTCACAGCTACTGGGCCGCGGCCGGCGCGGGGCCTCTGACCGCTGTTGCGGAGCCCTGGCTTGCGGTGTGGCGCGGGTCTATGCGGGGACCTGGCCCTACCGGGCCTCTTCGTGCGCGGCTTAGCATTTCCCGGAGCCCCAGCCCAGACAGGTGGTCGTTTGTCGGTTAGGGAGCGTCCGCGGAGACCCATCGTTTCTTGAGCTGAAATTCAGTCTGTGCCCTAAGATCTTCGGACCCTTGGGGTTGGAGGCTTGCTATGTCCGCCAGTCCTTTTTCAGTATTAACTAAATCCCCGCCTTGAATTACAGTTGCAGTATTGATCATGTTTGGGGATTGTAAGGACAACTACAAATTAAAAATAAAAGGTTTTATCCTTTTTGCTGAATATGAGAAATTTTCCTCCCTTTTTTCCCCTGATCATTTATTTTACAAAACCAGTAATTACTGTTAAGAACTTCAACCTCTTGGAAATGTATATAAATCCTTTTAAAGACTCGGTCTTTTTGTTCCCTTTAAGAGCTCTCTGGGACGTGGGAGCCATCTCTGAAAGGTGAAGGTAGACAGTTTCCTAGTTTGGGCAGGAGGATAAGAGCCTAACTTCGGTGGACCCCTCCCTCCAAATTGCAAAACTACAGCCTGTCGAAGATATGAATTTATTTGTCCTTTGGAACCGGTAATCACCCCAATTACTAGGTAAAGGTAGAATAAAGTATGTGAGATGAATAGAACTAGTAAGTTCTCCTACATGAGGACTAGTTATTTTATCTTGAAAACATGTAATAGGCTCAGTGCCTGTGGCTCAAGTGGCTAAGGCACCAGCCACATACACTTAAGGTAGCGGGTTCGTATCCAGCCCGGGCCGCCAAACAACAGTGATGGCTGCAACCAAAAAAAAACCCAGCCAGACGCCTGGCCGTCGCCTGTGGTCCCAGCTTCTTGGGAGGTGAAGGCAGGAGACTCGCTTGAGCCCAGGACTTGGAGGTTGCTGTGAGCTGTGATGCTACGGTACTCTACCCAGGGGGACAGCTTGAGGCTCTGTCTCAAAAAGAAAACATGTAATAGATTGTATCTGCTTGGGTATACAAAAGAGAGCTTTCTGTCTTAGCAATCTCTTACTTAGCAAATTGCCTGTGATGTCATCACATTCTGGTTTAATACTGATTCAGTTCAGCAGTACATGCTAGCAGTTCCAGCCGCTCAGGAGGCTGAGGCAGGAGGATGACCTCAGGCCTGTGTGAAGACCAGCCAGGGCAGCATAGCAAGACCACCTCTGGAGAAGATTTCTAGGTTAGGAGATTCTTTTTATTAATTATATTTCCCCAGTGGAAGCCAGGTTCCTGCACATCATAGGTGCTCAATAAATACTTGAAAATTAAATAGTGATAGTCATCTTTGCTTAGGCAGACTCTTCATATCTGTATTCCATGAATGCAGGAAATTGGAATGAATGCAGTTTTAACCTGTGGCTAAATCATTTTTCATTTTATGAATTTATTTTGCATTACGAAAAGGTGACCTGCATCCTTATTTACTTCAGCATTGATCATTTGTGTGTTTCTTTTGAAGAAATTTATATTTAGATCTTTTGCCCATTTTTAAATGGGATTGTCTTGTTATTTATTTTTAAAAGTTTTTTATATTCCAGATAAAGCCCCCTATCTGATACATGATTTGTAAATATTTTCTATAATTCCTTAGGTTTTAAATATTTTCTATCATTTTTAGTGCTGCTACTGGTGCTGGAAACACCTGCGGGGAGCTGGCATCTTTGAAGCATACGATTTTAAAATTTTGATGAAGTCCAGTTTAACTACTTTTTTTTTTTTTATTGCTTATGCTTTTGGTGTCATAGTTAAGAAACTATTGCCTAATTCAGGGTTATGAAGATGTGTTTCTATGCTTTGTTCTGAGTTAACTTTTGTATATGGTATAAGATAGGGTTCCACTGCAAAACTGGCAGGACAACAGCTACATATCCAGGGCTTCTCATTGGTGTGGATGCACATGTGCCTGCTTAAACCACACTGTGTCACAGGAAGGACTTTGCTGGGGGAGGGGTATTCTTTTCACACCCCCAGATGACAAGACACTTGACACTCTTGTCAGACAGCTCTACACAGGCTGCCTGTGCTGAGGAGGATCTCTGTCCCCTCGGTGGTCTCCCCATGGGCCTGGTGGGAGTAGAGGAGAGGACATTCCAGCCACCTTTACACCTGGGTTTTCCAGTTGGTTTTGCTACTGTTGTTGGAAGCACCTGGGGGCAGGGGCCTGGAGCTGGCATTTTCATCCCCACCTGAGAGCTGAGTCATGAGACTTAAACAGGCTTCCTCAAAAAGGAAGGCAACTCTGTCCAGTGTGTCTCAGTTGTGCCCTCCCTGGGGCAACTCCCTCCTACCTCCACTCCTGTTTTCATGCTGGGTTCCACTGGGCCATTCTGATGTGGACCTTTAGGCACCCATCCAAGAGCTGGCTCCCTGCCAATGAGTTCTGTGCTTACACATACTATAGTTTTTGCCAGAGACATTACACTTGGTGAAGAGTTGCTCAGTCAGCTTTTTCCATCCCTGGACCACAGACTCATGAGGCTGCACCATTTTTATGTATCTGGTGCTGCAGACCCAGCCTCAAATCCCAGCCTTGCGTCCTTCCTGTATTTCTTCAGAAATATCCTACAGTCTTTGTCCACGTGTCTCTTGGCTGCCTGTCTCATTCAGGGCAACTTGTCGGGTTCAATCTCAATTTCAGAAATGTAGGCAAATTCCAGAAATGAGGTTGGAGTTTGGAGGATGGAAACCAAAGTACAGTTAGACTAGATTACATCCCTGCAAGACCGTAGGTGAGTGGACCATTGACATATCTGCTCTAGAATACTAGTTAGTGGCAACACTGGACCAAGATAGGGATTACTTTTGACACAAGATTGTGAACATATCCCTTAGATCTTGTTTACTGAAAGATTTTGGTTTGATTTGCTTGACAGCAGATAGAACTATGGGCTGATTGTGGTTTCTTCTATTGGCTTTACCTGTCATACAGATTCACACGATTCTTCCTCTGCTTGCCAAACTATGGGGAGCACACCTGCAGTCTTTATGGCCATAGCAACATGATTTCCAGGTCTCTAGAGGTATCAATGTTTAGGAAATTGGTGGCAGGAGCTCTATCTAAGCACTAATAAAGGAGTTGGGAAAAGATCATTTACCATTAAAAAGCTGCAGACGCTTCTTAAAGATCTTCCTAAATCATCTTAGGATGGTTGTGGACTGAATCATTTTTTAATTGGGGTAAAATATCCATACTACAAAAATTATCAGTTTAACCACCTTTAAGCATACAGTTCAGTGATATTAATTACATTCACAATGTTGCACAATCTTCACCACCATTTGGGATATTGTCATCATCCTAAACAGAAACACTACCCAATAAACAATATCTCCCCATTCACCCCTCTCCCTGGTCGCTATGAATGTGCCTATTGTAGGTACCTCATATAAATGAAATTGCATGTCTCCTTTTGTATCTGCTTTCCTTCACTTAGCATAATGTTTCAAGGTCCATTCATATTGTATTAATAGCATGTATCAAAATTTCATTCCCTTTTGAGGTTCAGTAATACTCCATTGTATGTACATACCCCGCTTTATTTACCTGTTTATTGATATTTGGATTGCTTCCATTTGGGGGCTATTGTGAATAATGCTCTTACAAATATTAGTGTGCAAGTATGTTTGAGTTCCTGATTTTAGTTCTTTTAGGTATATGCCTAGAAGTAGAATTGCTAGATTAGAATATAGAATTGTGGTAATTCTATGTTTAACTTTTTGAGGAGCCATCAAACTGCCTTCCACAGCAGCTGCACCATTTTTCATTCCCAGCAGTTAAGCACAATGATTCCAGTTTCCCCACATCCTTGCCAATGAACTGAAACATTTTAAAGCAAAGGATTCATATGCATATGCAGAGTTGTCAGAAAAAAATTCTATTTATCAAAAATCTCAGTTAAAAAAAGAAGAGTACTCAGTCTTTAGGATAAGTCCACATGTCTCAAGAAAACTCTATATTACAGTTCAGATAGGAAATGAGAATAATAATAAATTTCACCTTATTTTGTAAAGAGTTTAGATTGTATTACAAGTTAAAAACACATATATCCTCTCACATGAGCATCGAATTTGGATGACTTTATCTGCCACAAATCATTTTCATTCAGCTTTGCTTAAAAATAGAATGTCAAAAATCAGTGATTGTTTAATAGAAGAATTTCAAATAAAACCTTGTTTCAGAACTGCTGCAGTCTTGCTCTATCACTATCAAGGATCACGTGTTTACAAGAGCACCTGAAGTGTTTGTTATCAAGCAAGACCTTGCTGCTCAATCCACATAGAAGCCAATACCATGGCGCTTAAGGAGACATGAGGAAATGCTCAAATCTGTCAGCCTGAGCTTCAGGCTGCTACATGTTTTGTAGGCAGAGAGTCAGAAGGCATGATCTCGCTGGATCATGCAATGGGGATGATGTCAGAGCTCAGTATGTCTGGATGAGGGA